GATTTTAAAAGTTCTCATCACAAGAAAAAATCTTATAATTACACGTGGTGATGGATGTTAAATAGACTTACTGTGGTGATAATTTCCCAACATATACAAATATTGCTTCATTATGTTGTGCACCTGAAAATAATATAATGTTATATGACAATTATTTTTCAAACCAAAAGAGTTGATGCAAATGTCCCATGGGATGTACTCTAGTGAATACCATGTTGCGTTGCCCAGATCCTCCTTCAGGATTAAGGGCTTATTCTCCAGGTGCAGGGGGTGCAGCCATCTGACAGCCCTCAGCCCTCAGCCCTCAGCCCTCAGCCCTCAGCCCTCAGCCCTCTTTGAGAATTACCCTCTGCTAAAAGAAGATGTCTCACTCCAGCTCAACACCACTCAGATCTCTTGCTGTGAGAGCATAACTGACCAACAGCCATCTACTTCCTTCACTGTGTTTGTACTGAGGCTGCTCCTGGGCTGCTCCCAGCCACTGACTCAGCACAGCAGGTACCAGTGCATGTCCATTGCCATGGTCACACAATTACATTGAAGACAGCAGTCAATTACATCTGCCAGGTTGGTGACTCCTCTTCTTGGCATGAGGGACCCAAAGTGCCAGGCAGCAGAACAGCTTGAAGTTTAATGGGACATTTGCCATGTCTCTGAAAGTGTTACCCTTTTAGAAATCAAATTTCTAAGCATGCAGAGGCCAGATTTGTGGAGACCTGAAGCAAAACTCCCCAAGTGGCTCATGGGAGTGATGTTAGATGGACCTGCTTCTACTTCCAACCCTTGGTTTAAGTATTTATGTGTTCTCTAAATTGGGGATACAGCACATTATGATTCTTTGATTTATAGTGTATACAGCATCCTGCGAATTATATACTCAGCACTCCCTGTGTATTCAAGTGCCTGTGAGAAATATGATCATTCTCTTTGAAATTAAACATCTTCCCTTACTTTCCATTATAAAAATTTCTAAACTCTCTCATACTTATTACTCTCTTTAGACTACGTTATAACCTTGTCCTCCACTTCTCTAACAAACTTTATATATGATTTATATTTGTCACCTAAGTTGTCTCAATACACACTCTTCAGCCCACTCTACCTGGATTATTTCTGCCCCTGCCCCTCCATTTAGTGGTAGTAAATGGAGCCCTCCCTAATGTCAATTAAGGCCTCCATTTCACCAGCAAATGTCAAGGGATGTTTTTCAGGCCTCACTTGGTTAGTCCTTTCAACAAAACCAAAACTATTAGCCACTCTGCTTTTCTTTAGAAACATCTCTTTGCCTCCATGACATTGAGGACACCAAGTGATTCATAGAATTTCCCAAGATTCTTCAGGGGAAGAACATCACCGAAAGTTGGTTCTTGGGTTTGGTCTTGTAGAAGTTATTGTTTCATTAGGGGACAATATGGAAATTTTAAGTCAAATCAAAGAAAGAAGAGTTTCTCCTTGAAAGAAAAAAATGATTCATTTCCCACCTTTGCTGCCTGCCAGGCACAATGTTGGCTGAAAATTTTCCATTCTTTTATCTTTGCCCCACAAGGGAGCTGAATTGTTGGAAATAAAGTAAGTCAACAGAACAATTTATATAATGAGGAGCTCTGAGAATTCAACCCTTGAGACTCTGAAAACTTTAAACGTATTTTTGTTGCCCCTTACCAATAATTTTTTGATCCCAACCAAATGCAAAGCCAACTGGGCTTCCCAGGGTCAGACCTCAGAGAACAGAATGCTTCAGTGATAATCAGCAGAGAGGGTCAGTGTATCCAATGAGGACTCATGGAATAAGAAAAAAAGAGGAGAGAAATTGGGCACGGGGGTTTACCTCTAGAGTAGTGAGACTGAGATGGTCTCATGTTTATTTAGTCTACGATGGTGCAGTCTCTGTACTTGGAAGATACTTTAGTTTCTACTGAGCCCAGTCTTTTCCAGTGCTTGTTCTGTTTCCTTGTCTGTCTTTTTGGAATCTACTGAATTTCTGTGATAAGAGTTATTTTCTGGACAGTCTCCACCTCTTCTCTACTCTTTCCCATAATGGTAGAGTCCTGTCGGATTTCCTGCATCCAATCATTACTCACTGACTGCTCACTGGAGATCTATTATGCGCGAGGTATTGTCTACTTTATTCCTAACATGACTGGATTTTTCTGTTTCTTAACAATTTAGTCAGGGGATTTGCCTTACTGATAGAACTTAGTTCTGTACTGATTGTTGTTGCTGTTTAACTTCAGTGTTCACAATATCATCTATAGTAATTATTTCTGATGCTTGGTATTCAGCCCAACTTCTTTTTCTCATCTTTCCAACGTCTTTTAAATGTTGAGGAGAATATCTACTGATTGAAATTGGAGTAGACTGCCTTGGTCTGTTCATGAATTTAACACAAATATTTTAGTGTTTAATGTAGAATATCCTGTTTACTGTAGTTTTAAAACTACCATTCTTCATTGGGTTTAGAAATTGTCCTTGGTTTCCTCATTTAGCAAAAGCCTCTGTCCTGCCTGCCTGCTAACCACGGTGATGACTGTTACTTTTTCTCAAATGCATTTTCTAGTGTGATTATGCTTATGATTTCTCCTCATTGACCTATTTTTGTGATGAATTATCTTAGCAAACATCCTAGTATTAAACTACCTTCCCATGCCTAGATAGATATTACTTATTCATGATGTATTATTCTGTTAAAATAGATATGAAGAAATTTAATTTACCTTTTCATTGAATTTTGCATCTTTATCCAGGAGTATGTGAGCTTGAAGATTTCTTTTAGGTGTCATAGTTGACACTTTGGGTTTTATTTGTATTATACTTGTAACATTTGTATGTGTTGAGCACCTACTACGTGCCAGGCACCATGGAAGTCCCTGGGAAGACAATGGTGAGCAAAAAGAGTCACATTCTCCGACTCACAAGTAAAGATAAATTACCAACATGAGAGGCACATCAGGAATTTCACAGGATGCTGGACTTGTGGGGCTCCCCCACTCTGTCCTCCTGACCCTCCCTCTCTCTTCTCCATCTCACTGGTCTCTCAAGTCCCTTCATTCCCAAGCTCCATGACCCACAGGTTAACCATGAATTCTGTTCTCTCAGCCCAAAATGCTTGGCCTTTCCTGTTTCCCCTTGTTAACAGTTACCCATCTTTCCTTTCACAGTTCAAATATTCATATTTCAGAAAAATAATATTTTTCCACCCACCTGCCAAGACTAAACTGGTCCTCAATGATTTTTTCTCTCTGAATTAATCAGGATTCTCTAGGCATTAACAACATGGACCTTTTTTCTGTCATGGAGCATGTTGACATTTATGATCACTTCTAAAATTTTCCTTTCAAATTTTAGGATGACTTGATTGATAAAAGCTTTCAATATATTTTAATCAAATCTATCAACCACATTTTTTTGCAATTAATTCTACTGGTTTTTAGTACAACACATCACCACTTCTGAGCATGTACACATAGGCACACACGAGAACACACACTTTGCATTTTATTTTAAAGCTTTGTGATTTTGTTCCCTCCTCTTATCTTTCTTGTTCACATACTTTTCTCTCTTCTTTTTTTTTTTTTAATTTTTTGTTTATTGCAGTAACATTGGTTTATAACATTGTAAAAATTTCAGGTGTCCATCATTGTACTTCTATTTCTGCATAGATTACATCATGTTCACCACCAAAATACTAATTACAACCCATCACCACACACATGTACCAAATTATCCCTTTCAACCTCCTCCCTCCCCCCTTCCCCTCTGGTAACCACCAATCCAATCTCTGTCCTTATGTGTTTGTTTATTGTTGTTATTATCTCTCTTCTTAAAAGTATCCCCACGGCAGGCAGTTTCTGAAACAGGTAATCATAGGGATCTTCATTAATTAGAAGTGCTGCATGGCAATTAAAAGAGGTAACAGATCTGTTGTGTGTATAATGATCAGAATTCCATCTTGAGTGACTGCCACAGTTTAAGAGGAATATTGAAAATGATAGCCTCATGAGACTGATTTATTGTAATGTTAAGAACAGAAGCCCACATTTATCACCTGTCCCCTGTATGTCACAGAAATCACAACAAAAATTACATGCATCATCTCATTTAATTCACTCATCAGTCTTACATTGTAGGGAATATTTTCTACTCCCATTGTAGAGGAGAGGTATCTGCAGTGAGGAGAGGTTAAATAACTTTGTCAAGGTCACACCAAAAGTGATTTGGTGGAGCAAAATTCTGTTCTAGGACATCTGACTCCAGGTGCCATTTTATAAATCACATCTCTATCTTTTACTATGGGACAGTTACACATCAAAAATACTTGTCATAAAAGGAACACATAAATAATGATAATAATAGCTATCATTTATTGAGATCCTGCTGTGCACAAAGGTATTTCTAAACCTCACAAAGAAGGCAATAGAAGTAACCATATTTTTAGAAATAAAATAAATAAGGCACTTCAGTGTTAACTATGACATGGATAGTAAGCATCAAGTCATAGAATTAAAGTGGTGAGAATCCACATCTTGATAAGTGTCAGAGCTATTTGAATGAAGAAATTATGGAGACTATCAAAGTACAGTTACTAAATGACTTGAACTCTTTTGGAAAGGTCATATCATAGAAGAAACTGGTTTATCTCTACAGCCTAAAATGGAATTAAAACCAGTGAGTAGGAGACAAAAAGAGACTTCTGTTAAATTTCAAGAAGGCTAAATAATTACATTTAAAAAGGAAATGGGCTCCCACTTGACTTAATGAATGACTGACATTGGAAAGACTTAACAGAGGGTGAAGTTTGTCCATCTAAAAGTGGAATCAGGAGGTGTTGACTAGCTCAGGTGCCAGTTGGAGGTTCACCGAACATTGCTTTTGTTTCCTTCTCCAGCAGACACACCAACTCCATGGAAGGAGGAAACAACACAGAAGTATCAGAATTCCTCCTACTGGGTCTTTCAGAGGATCCTGAACTTCAACCTCTTCTCTTTGGAACGTTTCTGTCCATGTACCTGGTTACCGTGCTTGGGAACTTCCTCATCATCTTGACCATCATCTCTGACTCCCATCTCCACACACCCATGTATTTCTTCCTCTCCAGCCTGTCTTTTCTTGACATTGGCTTCACCTCGACCACCGTCCCGAAGATGCTGGTCAACATCCAGGCACAGAGAAAAGACATCTCCTACATAGGATGCTTCACTCAGGTCTATTTTTTAATGGTTTTTGCTTTACTGGAAGGTTTTCTCCTGACTGTCATGGCCTATGACCTATTTGTGGCCATCTGCCACCCGTTGCACTACATGGTCATCATGAACCCACGCCTCTGTGGCCTCCTGGTTCTGATGTGCTGGTTTATCACTTTCTGGGTCTCCCTGCTTCATATTCTACTGTTGAGGCAGCTGACCTTCTGTATAGGTACTGAAATTCCACATTTCTTCTGTGAATTGGCTCAGGTTCTCAAGGTGAGTTGCTCTGACACCCTCATCAATAACATAGTCTTATATGTGGCCTCTGCCCTCTTGGGTGTGTTTCCTTTTACTGGGATCTTCTTCTCTTACTCTCAACTTGTCTCCTCTATAATGAGAATTTCCTCTGCAAGAAGAAAATAGAAAGCATTTTCCACCTGTGGATCTCATCTCTCTATAGTCTCCTTGTCGTATGGGACAGGCCTGTGCATCTACTTAAGTTACACTGTGACAAATTCTTCTCACAGCAATTCGATCACCTCAGTGATGTACACCATGGTCACCCCCATACTGAACCCCATCATCTACAGACTGAGGAACAAGGATGTGAAGGGGGCCCTGGGAAGGCTCCTCAGCCGAGCTGCCCCTGGTCTCTGATGGGTCACTGGCATCAGGACAAAGTGGCTATGGTGGACTCAAAAAGCAAATATTACGTATTTAATGCCCTGTTTCTTTTTCTCCCCTAAAAGACAACGTCATTTCTTCTACTCCAGAAGAACCTATGACTCTGTTTTTATTTGTTTTTGTGTTAGTTTCTCTTCAACAACCTCGTCAGCCATTCCTTTGTGATTTTTCTACCTTATTTGCAGCCCATAAACTTTTATCTTTGGTCAGCTTTCTTACAGGCATTCCTGATGTTGCCAACATTCAATCTGAATACTTATTTTATCGTTTACCCCAAAAATTGTCTTCTCAAATATTGATATCTTCACTTTAAATTGGTTGAGTGTTTGTTTTTCCTAGAAGAAATGCAATGAAAATCATACAACAGTCATGACCAAAGTGATGGCCATATCAAGACTCTTCTTGTTGTTTTACCTGTATAATTTTGAATTATCCTGACAACATTTCTTTGAGATTTTTTTTCTCTTTTACTCCATTTTTCAGGGAAAGAGGTTGGAAGTGGGCTGGATTCTAATCTGGAAACCTGACGGTGAGCCCACACCCTTACTCTGGTATCGTACTTTTCATGAAAACAGTTATGTGATTTTTCAACTTCAAGAGTAGAAATCTAGATTTGAAAGCTAGTTTCTCCAGGAGATTTATAGTAATATATTGCATAGGATAACTCTGAGATATGGCTTCACTCTTTGCCTTCCATTCTGCTCTCTTCCTTTCTTCCTCTTCTTTCATGTGTTATTGGACCGTTATTTCTCATGATTGCACTTTTAGGATACACTCAAAGATCCAAAAGCACATAATAGTGAATACAATAAAGTAAGACTTTTTCTCTCCAGTGGTTTGTTAGGGGGGAAGATACTCTCTGGAGGTGCCATCAGGAATGATAGTTACACACTTGTGGAATGCATTAAGAACTTAACAACAATAAACAAACACATAGGGACAGAGATTGGATTGGTGGTTACCAGAGGGGAAGGGGGGAGGGAGGAGGGTGAAAGGGATAATTCGGTACATGTGTGTGGTGATGGGTTGTAATTAGTATTTTGGTGGTGAACATGATGTAATCCATGCAGAAATAGAAGTACAATGATGTACACCTGAAATTTTTACAATGTTATAAACCAATGTTACTGCAATAAACAAAAAATTTAAAAAATATATATTACATAAAAAAAAAAGAACTTAATTCACTTTTTGAGAAGAATATTGATAGAACTGAGTCTACAGTGAAAGGTGGAGAATTAGAACCTGTCAGCATTTCTCCCATGTTCCCCGGGATCTTTTCACCATCTCCATTGCAGGATTGCCTAACTGTCAATGGTTCACAGTAGGTGAAACTTACTTTTCCTAATGCATGATGGCAGAAGTAACAAGGGATTATGACCACCAGAAACAGCTCTTGATGGAGAGCTTTGGGGTATAATATCTCCTTCACTCCTTTTATGGGGCAATTTTGAAGTTTGGATTTTGTGCCACTTTCCGTGATTTCCCTACAGGATGAAAACTCTGCTCAGTTATTGTGGGATCTGACTTGAGGTAAACTTTATTGGATGCATTTTCTTCCCTATATCACTTCTCTCTCTAACCCATGTTCCATGTTCTCCTCTCCTTCCTATAAGGAGCTTGCACACGAATCCTAAGCTCGGTGTCTGCTTCTATGGGAAAAAAACAAAACAAGTGATACAGGCTGTGAAGGGTATCAAAACAATATCATGAATGGAACTTCGGGTTTTTGGCAAAAGAAAAAATAAATAAACCAGGAATTGTGTATCTAGTAAGATCTTCACATTACTAAAAACTCTTAGTTTGTTAGTGAGGAAAAATTTATCTTATAGGCTTCAATTCACTTTGATTAAATTAAGTTTAATCCAGTGTTATTTTTTGTCTACTGTATACAAGTTGAAGAGGGGACCAGTGAGGTAGCCATGATTGCCACACAGAGTCGTGAGTCTAGCAATTCTGGGGTGCAACAGAGCATGTTGAAATCAAAGGAAAAGTGTTCAATCACCTCGAGTAATTTCGGAGAAAACTTTACAAAATTGACTTTACAGACTCATTGATATGTAATTAACATACCATGAAATTTGCCCATTGAAAATATAAATTTAGTAATTTCAATAGGGCCGGTCCCATGGCTTAGTGGTTAAGTGCATATGCTCCACTGCTGGCGGCCTGGGTTTGCATCCTGGGCGCGCACTGATGCACCGCTTCTCCGGCCATGCTGAGGCCGCATCCCACATACAGCAACTAGAAGGATGTGCAGCTGTGACATACAACTATCTGCTGGGGCTTTGGGGGAAAATAAATAAATAAAATTATTAAGAACTTCCCACATAGAAAAAAAATTTCAATAAATTTAGATTTATGCAACCATCATCATAATTCAGTTTTAGAACATTTGTGTCATCCCAAAAAGTTCTCTTGTGCCCATATACACTTAATTCCCACTCACACCTCCATCCTAGACAACAACTTATCTCTTTCTGTCTCTGTAAATTGGTCTTTTGTAGAAATTTTATATAAATGGAATCATACAATATGTAATCTTTTGTATCTGGCTTCTTTCCTTTAGCATAATTGTTTTGAGGGTCATCCCTGTGGAGACACGTATCAGTGTTTTGTTCCTTATAATTGCAGAATAGTATTCAAATGTGTGGATATACCATATTCTGTTTATCCACTAACCAGTTGCAGTTTGGGTTATTATGAACATTTGCGTACATGTCTCTGTGTTGACATGTGTTTTTATTTCTCTTGGGTAGATAATATGGAGTATAATTACTGGACTATATTGTAAATTTATGTTTGTTATTTAAGAAACTGTCAAAATGTTTTCAAAGTGGCTTCACTATTTTACATTTTCATCAGCACTGAGTGAACATTCCAGTTTTTCCACATCTTTGCCAACACTTGAGATTCAGGAAAAACTTCTAATGGGCGAATGTACTTGAGCATTGGGTGACAAGTAATAAATGGAAATTTAATTTGAGAATGGGTTTGGGTTGGAAGAAGAGAGGATAAGACAGTGGGACCTACAGGAACAAGGAACCACACGCACATAAGCATGGAGAAATTCAAGAGTAAGGCATTACAGGAAGAAGTATGGAACTTATGACTGATTTGTTAGAAATAAGCCTAGATATGCAGATGGAGGGCAGATTATTGAGAGTCTAATTTGAGATATTAATGCTTTTAAAAACAATTGAGCACCAGCGCCATGATGCTGGGTTTTGAAGGGACACATGACATGATCTGACTTGGAATTTTAAAAGATCATTCTGGCTGCTGAGTTGAGAATGGATTGTAGTATTTGGGAAATTTGATTGGAGCTTACAGCAGGAAGCCAGCTGAGTTATAGCAGGATAGGACCCAGGGTGGGGCGTGGTAGTGTAAGTGTTGATAAGTGGTCAGTTGGGCCAAGAGGATTTGTTGTCAGGCAGGATATGGGTGAGAGAGAAAAAGTGGAGACAAGAAAGACTCCAGGTTTGGGGCCTGAACAACTGAAAGAGTGGAATTGTATTAATAGAGATAGGAGGGCGATGGGTGGAGCAAATTTGGAAAGAAAGGGGACATCTGAAGTTCAGGTTTTGAAATGTCAAAAATGAGATATTCCAAAGGATAAATATTATATGATTCAACTTATGTCAGATGACTGCAGTCAGCAAATTCATAGAGGCAAAAACTAGAATAGAGATTACCAGGGGCTAGGGGGAGAGAGGATCAGGGAGTTAAATGTTTAATGGGGACAAAGTTTCATTTGGGGATGATGAAAAAGATCTGGAGATGCATGGTGGTGATGGTTGGACATAATGTGAATGTAGTTAATGCCACAGAGCTATACACTTAAAATAGGTAAAATGATAAGTTTCATGTTATGTATATTTTACCATAATAAAAAACAAAGGAGATGTTTGTTTGACATCCCATTGGGAACTGGAGTTTGGTAGAGAGGGCTGTACTGGAGGTGAAAATTGGAGCATCATAGACATAGAGGCAGTATTTGAGGCTAGCAAGCTGGTTGAGATCACCAAAGGAGCAAGTGTAAATATGCAGAAGGACCAAAGGCAGAGCCCTGGGATGCTCTGGGAGGAGTAAACTGCAAAGGAGACTGAATAGGAGAGACCAGAGAGGTAGCAGGAAACTAGGAGAGCTGGTGTACTGAAAGCCTAGTGGAGAAAGCTTATCAGTGAAAGGCTGGGGCAAAGAGAGAAACAATTCTTCTCAAGAGGAAAAGGTGTGACCCCTTGTGAGGGGTATATCCTTTCTCAGAAAGGGCCAGAGTTGTGCTCTGCAAAGAGAGACAACATCTGGTGAGAGGAACTTTACGTTTTGTTGAACATGTGGCATTCCCAATGCCGTAGATGTTGGGCAGTGTTCCAGGTATTGTCAGAATGGTTCCATGAAGGTTTTATGCAGCAGTATTTTAGATTATTTTTCTAGTCTCTTCCAGTAACCACCAACTTTCTATAACGAGGTAGGAAACATACATAGGAGACAGCCCTGGTGATCTCTGTCTTTGTTTTGTATCTCTTCCTATATCCGTGATGCCATCAGAAAGAGCTAGTGTATCCTAGTAAGTGCCGGAGGTGGGGTGGGGGAAGGGAGATGTAAACAGTAAAGGAGAAGCTTTTATTAAATCAGAGTACTAGGCACACAAAAAGTGTTTCTCAAAGTGTCTCTAGACCAGTAGCACCAGCATGCCCTGTGAGCTTGTTAGACATGCAAATTCTTGTCCTTCATCTCAGATCTACTAAATCAGAAACTCCAGGGACAGGCCCAGCCATTTGTGTTCAATAAGCCATCCAGGTGGATCTCATGTATGGCTAACATTTGAAAACAATTGTCTTAGGGGTTTTATTGAAATGCATGATGAAGGACCCACACCAGGCAGCATCATCAGAGATCTCAGGGCCCTCCACCTTCAAAATGTTATCTAATAAAAATGATACATTTGTCTTTGACTTTGCAATGCTTAT